AACTAAGCCTAAGGTCAAAACCCTTGACCTTAAGAACCTTGTGGGACGGAAACTGTCATTTCATTGATTTGAATCCAGAAATACAGGTTCACCCATCCTGAGACTTTCTTTCTTGAAAATCAAGTGAAAGAACACTCTCTTTTTATTATCATTACCATTTTACAAATGTTGATAATCAAAGTGTCTTAGTTCAAACCATTTTAGATGTTGCAGTGAACTAATCAATTTTATTAACTGTAAAACAGTAACAATGATTTTTTAGTTGCTTATGCAAAGTTAGAATTCATGTTAAGGCCTGTTACAGAGTAATCATGTATTTTCTGATTTCTGTCTTTGAATGAGCAAGTGTAAGTTTTGTCCAAGGTCGGAGTCGAAGCAGACATGTGTCTTGTTTTAAAATCCTCTCAGACGTAAACAGAGGAGTTGGCACCTGTTTCTCCAAACTCGCCAAAATATTCCTCTCGCCTGTCTGAGAACAGTTTTAATCTGTTCCATAACAATTCTTGCTGTTTTCTGACTTCTAGTAACCTCTTACATCACAAAACACACCCCTGTCTGGTTGATATGGACCAATCAGGGACGCTCAAATATACCGGAAATAGAGCTCTTTGAAATGCCGGTACTTCCTAGTTCTCTCAGTTCGGTGGAGCGCGGAGAAGTTCTGAGATGTTCGCAGTTCTGTGAAGTCGTTTGGGAGAACAGAAGTCCAGCCATGATAAGGCTCTTCCGAGTTGGATTATAACATCTTCCACCTCTGAGTGGAACTTCTGAAGGACTCCACTCATGTGAAGTCCACTTGCTGAAGTGAGCTGGTGTCGGATGGAATCTCGTCACTACTTCGGACGAGTCACAGCCATCCTATGGAGACGCTGGACAGGTAGCGTTAACTGGAACTCCATATCTGCTGATTTATCTTCAGAAAGGTAATGAGTCAAGTTTCCTACCAAGCGTACCGAGGAAAAGCTGGGTTCGAATGGAGAGTGTCGGTTCTGGTCAACACTCCTCCTCACACACCATCTTTTACTCCCTTTAAACTTCATTTCCATCTTTAAATCCTTCTATCAAGTAGAAATCCTTCCAGATAATTTAGAAATGTCTGTGTAAAGTGCTCATCCACCGCCGTGTGGATAATTGATCATAATTGTACAGTTTTCATAAATGTCTGTGGTGAAGCAACGGAAAATCATGGCCGTATGGTTTTCCTGGTTGTAAAGCTGATTGTTTATGTTGTTATTTTCATATTTTGCCAAATTAATGTAAATGTTTGATGTTAAACTTTGATTCTGTAAAATAAATGACCACATTCATTTTGATGGGTCAAAGATAAATGACGTCTCACGTTTACATTTCATTAAATTCAATGCACGTTTTATTCAGTCCAGAAAAATGAAGAATCCGTTTTAATTGATGAATATATCTCAGCATCTGTTCATCTACATACTGTACATCCATCAGCTACCTCCTTGTAAATGGGCAAATTGTAAAACTGACAAAACATGTTCTAAGCAGTGATGCTGTAACTCAAACTGTCCTGCTGACTGGATGGATTGCCAAACCAAGGCTGGTCATGAAGTGTTGAAAAAGTGAGAGCAGAATCAAGCGCTGCTGTTTCAGCCTCTCTCATTGATAAATGCTGAAACAAACATGCAAAAAGGTCAGAGCTGTTTTCTTACCACTATCTTGAGCACAGAGCTGAAAATCTTGGTGTCTTCTGTGACGCCGCCAATATAGAGTGTCCTGGAGAAGACGGGAGGGTTGTCATTCTGGTCCTCAATCTTAATGTACACTTTGGCTGTGTTAGCTGTAAAAAGCAGACAGTACCAGGATAAATGCAAGTCCTTTGATGGACATTCATTTTTAGCCAGTTTCCTTTTTACCTGCTTTATGGAAAACCAACAGGAATGGTACATACAGTGTGATGCACCAGTCTGTGTAAGTCTCTGAATGTCAAGTGTCTGATAACTCAGTTTGATGCTTCCTCACAAATATACCACTAGAGAAACTGGCTAAAAAAAAATGTGAACTGCAGATGAGCAGAAGACGCATAATTTGGACTTATAGGAGTCAGATGCGCAAAACGTTTTATGGTCATCAGCTTGTCCACATCTTCAAAGGAAAGCTTGAAACTACTCCCTAGAATGCTTAGATATTTATTTCTTTACGCAAATAATCTCAGTATGTTATAATTAAAGCTTATTCAAATAAACACTCACCAATAAGGAAGTGTGCTTTGGTAAATTCTGAAATAAAGTTCTTATCCATTTAATAACTCAGGCAGCAGATTTTGTCTTAAAAATGAAACGTGAACCTTTCTTCATTTTGAAGCAATTTTCAACTACATGACGATAATGCTTTGAAGTTGATTTTCAACTTGCATGCAAAAAAAAAAAAAAGATAACTATTTTGCAATTCTCATAAAAGACTGTCACAATCTTTTTGGGTGAAGTTGACAAATTAGTGCCAATAATGAGAAGGCTAAATTTGTTTGGATTTCATAAAATATTAAACAGGGAGGAAATCTAATTGTGAAGTATGCTTCTGACTTCCTTCACTTCTCCATAAATAGATTGGGGAAAACAGCTTGATCAGTTTGCACTCTGTTTACCAATTCTTCACTGCAGTATCTACAGTACTTGCAGAATGAGTATATTTTATATCATAAAAATTATAACATGATGAAAACTGTTTCTCTAAGTAATTACATTTTGGCGAGTTCTAAATTGCCTCATTAATGATGATAGGGTGGTTTTCTCAACAGCCTGAGGCATGACAACAAACAGAGTAGCATACAACTATTTTGCACAGAGAATAATTAAAAGCGCAGGTAAACAACCAGAGAAAGCAGAAGCAAGACAACAAGTATCTAGATGTTTCATTACCGCAAGCACAAACGTGTAGGCTGTAGTGATGTCTGCCTGGTTAAACACGACAACCAGTTGACGTCTGCTCCTGATTGTGGTTATTGTGGACCAACCTGCTCTAGATTGATCATTTTGGCTTTTTCTATATGAAGTGTTATGGTTATATGGGGCTGCAAACAGAATGGGTTAAGGTGGTTAAGATTATGGTAATATAAATGGTTGGTTTTATGGTAGAAAATGAAATGTTTACATGCAGTTTTAAACTAGCAAAAACACTAAAACCAAATTGTATCTCCCCCCCCCCCCCCCCCCCCCCCATTTTGGACTTTTCTCTTATATTTTGTGCATTCACAACACGGAGAAGAGGGTCCTAATCTGTTTTAGTGATGTAAATGAAAAGTGAGGGGTTTTGTAAACCCTCTTTCAGAGGTATGTTTCAAAATGAAGAGGTATGGATTATACTTGCAAGAAGATATATACTTGCAAAAGATAAAACAAGTCTGCACAAGTGCAGTATTTTCCCCATTAAATAAATACTTTTACTTGCAGTAAAGCACAAAGCAAACAATAAATAAATGAAACATGGGGATATTTAGTTTGAAACATTTTGATTTATTACTAGCAGTGTCCTGATATAGGTTTTTTCCCACACTGGGAACAAGTACAAGTACTTCAGTTTGGGTACTTGCTGATACTGGGTACAGATATCGAGTAGTTAACAAGTTAGTAATTAATTATTGCACACCTTTAGACATATTCCTTTTCTTCAGAACACAACATTCAGTCTGCAGTCTTAACATAATCTTTATTTATCTCCAAACTACTGATTTTATTTATTTACGCTTGGTTACTTGATTATAAAGTATCTGGATGAGTTTATGAGTACAAGTACAAGTATTTGGGGCTAGTATTGGGCCCAATACTGATATCAGTATCAGGACAACAATATTTATTACATTTGACATTATTGTTAGTTATTCTTGACAAGCATAATGTAATGAAAAGTTGTGTCATATTTCCCCATTATAAATGTTTTATTGTCTCAACAAAGTTTGTAATGTCTAGTTTGGTGTCTTCCAATCCATTACGGTTGGGATTGTAGATTTTCTCAACCAAGTATCAAACAAATATAAATGCAAAGTTTGTTCAAGGCTTGGTAACTAGTTTTGCATGTTATTGTTAGGTGTATCTGTTTAACAAAAGAAATTGGCAATACCTGATAATAGATCAATTTATTTCCTGTTGTGGTGAAATATTCTAATTGCTTCTCTGTGACTTTGGGCTAAGGGGTACGACTATGGGTAGGGTAAAGGACAAATGGTAAATGGTATTTGTACTAAAATATATTTTTAAACTTTTTGTGAAGCTTTATATTTTTGCCCGACTGATATATCGGTAGGGGCTGATATTTTAGGCTGATATAGACATTTTGGGACCTATTGGTGTCTGTGATAATGGTCCCATTATGTGCCAATATAAAACTTCTATTTTTCCCCCTAAAATGCTGGGAAACAGCCGTAATGTAACCAAAAGAGGGTGCATGAAGACTACTTTCAAGTCATGGCCTTAAGTTTCAGTTTTGACATTCAGCACAGACAAAGCAGGGAACATTACTGTGTAGCATATTTTGCTGAACAGCGCATGGTATGTTTAGTTTAACTGATCTGTAAAAAAAAAATTCTTGATAATAAATCCTCCAATCTTCCAACCCACTTGCCACTTGCTACGTTAGCAAGCTAACAGTTCAGTTGCATCGCCTTCACAACATTAGCCCCATTGTCAGTGGTTAAAGCAACCAGTCTTGTTGGATTGAGCTTCCAGTTTGTGAGGACATCCAACTTTAGTAACGTTATCTTTGTCGTCTTCAAAGTCATGCATTGTTTGTCTGAAATCTTTACTTCTCTACAAAGAAAAATAAATGCTGTTACAGTCAACACTAATTACGTAATTAGGCCTTCACCATATGCGACTGACTGTGTAAACAATGAACAGGGGAGGGCATTTCTTTGTTTAGTTTACATTTATGTCACACACTTGATAATTGTATGGTGAAAAATGGAGAATAGAAAATGTGAAGGCACATTAGGAACATTGCTTTTTATGACCAGTGCACCACTTGTAAACCTGTTGTGGGACTAAGTGTGGATCCTATTTGCTAAGCTTCATGGTTGCTAACAACTGCGCTAAATAAACAAGGCCAACTCCACTCGCAGTTTACTTAAGATTATTGGGGGTGGACAAAGCTCTGAAAATTTTAGCCATTATATTGGTTACTGGCAGTCCCTCACCCCTCCCAATATTGGCATTGGCGATAGCCAAAATTTCCATATCGGTTGGGCTCTACTTTACGCATTTATCTTGCCCTTTTAAGAAAAAAAAAAAGGTGCACACATATTAAGAAGAAACCCTCTTTTCAAATATATCTCAGTTCCACTTATGCCATATACAGCACACATGTGTTCGGTGAACGATCCTCCCAACACTGCAGTTTAAGGTAAATGCAATGTCAAGGACCATTCTTCTGTTGGCAGGATTAAAAAAAAAAGGCAAATTTTTATGGCACCTCCACTAAGGATGCAGCAGTAGAATTGGACAAGCAAACTGCGGCATGTCAAATTACACACACACAATAGCTTTAGTGTGAAGCACATGGAGAGGACTCAAGGGGATAAGAATGAGGTCTGCAAATGTTTTCCCCTCCCCTCTCTTTGTAAAAGTAGCTATTTCCCCTCAAGACATAAATACATAAATACAGTGTATCCACTATTCTACTCCTCTTCCTCTCACACACTCATAAACATGCATAAAAAAAGCATCCATTAAGATTGTGTCTAGGAGAGAAAAAAATTGAAGTCCTTCAAAGAATGCAATACCTTTTAGAAAACATAGTCCATCTTTATTATATATACTAGCTTATTCTAGAATATATTATGTTCATATGTATTTTTGCACACTGTATGTATACCAATTATAAGGGCGCATACATCAACTAAGTCATGAGAGTGTAAGATGGCAAAGAAGATGACCTATTAGTCTAAAGAGTCTTTGCTAATTTAAAACATTCTAATTTATTACTGAAAAAAAAAACATATCCATCATTTCACCTACATTAATTAATAGAAGTAAGAAAAAAAATCTGCACTCTTGGCTCGAGTGCAAGATCTCCCCGGTGTGTGACATAGAGTCCTACATTTTTATGGTGTATGTGCTTGACTAGTGTTTACTTGTAATTACTGCCATTAGTATGTGAGAGACACACAGTATGAAGAAGAGAAAGGCAGGAGGAGTGTGTCATTGATTATTCATTCAACCTTATTTGTAGCTAGCCCTTCATTCATCATTATAGGAAGCTTGTATGTCAGTAAACTGGCCATTACTTGGTCTAATGATATTCCAGCTGAAGAATGGACATCAGAGATAGCATAATCTAAAGACAGTGTATGCTGCAAACAAACTGCATATTAAGTAGAGTTTCTTTTTATGAAAGTGGGAGCAAAAAACTATTTAGCTAAGTCTCCAAAACAGATGACTTTATTTGCACTTTACATACAAAAGGACATGCATTAAAGGGAATTTATGCTAAACAGATTTATGAATGCATTTGAGACAATCCTTTGTGAGAGTAGGTGTTATTATAACTTGGGTTGTTTCTATTTACATATTGTATACGGTACTGTACTGCATTTTGTACAGATTGCAAGTAAAAGCACTGAACATTCCAAAGAATACAGTATATTAAAAAGTCAATACACAAATTAAACAGCACAACTATTTTAAACAATCCTAAGCCTGGAATAGATATGAGCTCAGTTGACTATTTTATGATTAATGTTATGCATTCATCTAAATGAAAACAAATTAACACATTCTTGTAAAACGTCTTAGAAAATATGAATAATAATTCTGATTTAGTTTATTGTGGTGTTAATGCCATTTGAAAAGCATATTTGAAAAGGCAAAGCAATAAATTACAAGTCCTAATAATGGTGACACGACAATGCAAAGGTTAGAGCTGTTTCTTGTGTAAATCTGGGCTGCTGCCTTTCTGTGCTTGTGGTTTGCTCCCAAAGACCAAAAACACATGTTTGGTTAACTGACAAATCTAAATTGTCACTAGGTGTTTGGCTCTGTGATCGACTGGCAACCTGTCGGGTGTGTACCCTGCTTCTCACCCAATAACCACTGAAGCCATCACCAGTCCCCTGCAAACCTGCATGGAGAAGCAGGTCAAGAAAATGGACTCATAATAAATGTCCCCTCACAATCAAATCAAACAACATGGAATTTTAAATGTTATGGGTCATTTTTTGTCCAGCTGTAAAAGTGTGGTAAAAGGAAATTGTATGGTTGGGTAAAAGTTTTTGATTCACAATATCAGAGCAGATATTTTGTAAACCTTTTGTACCAGCAAAAGTACATGTAAAATTAAGCAAAAGTAATTGTTAATGAATTACAAAGGTTTTTTTTGTATGTTCTTCAGACATAATAAAACATGCAGTTTTTCTCATGCAAACAAAAAAGTACTTAGAAACAGCTTGATTTGAATGGACTAAACAAGAAGCAAATAAAATAAACCAGAAAACTTTATTTAACCATAATCACTCACAATGAGGGGTATATTAATGAGAAGTTTGGAAAATCAACTATAACAAATCATTTTAACACAAAAACTCACAAAATTATGAAAACATTATTTTTTGAGAGTGATTTTTGAAAGATGGCTGATATTTCTTACTTTTAGAAGGAACACGCAAGTTGGACATGACAACCAACATGGAGTCTGCCTGGACCCTGAGGACGTAGCTTGTTATATTCTCATAGTCCAAGAGTTTGGCAGTGGAGATGACTCCTGTTCTGTTGTTCACTTGAAAATGACCTAAAATCAAGAAGAAAAAGTAGGAATTGTCATAAAAACATAAGTGTGAAAAAATAACCAAATAAATGATGGTTTTGGAATGTTGCATACTGTTTTGCTGTGTTTTAAAGTGTTACATGGCTTTTGAAGTTCAAAAGTTGTCCATGTGCATAACAAATAAGGTCTGACAGGTTCCCTTTGCTTCTGTTCTTTTCATTAAATTATACACAAATTTTCTGCTTGAGGCTGAAAAGGCTCACATATTTCTACTATTCTTTTATTGCCTGGGTGTAATTTTCTTCATACTTTGCAGACAAGTGTAAACAAAGCAATCTACAGAGTTGAGTATTGCAAACAGTGTCTCTACTTCTACACAAAAGTAGAGAAAATGTTTAAAGGGGAAAAAAAAGCCTTATGACTGTAAACAGAAACAATCAATTTTTAAATAATGTATTTTACACATTACAGAAACACAAATTTAAAGTGAAATAGATTATTTGACTCAAACATAGTAACTCGTGTTAACAATAAAACATTGCTTTATATTTGTTAACATTTTTCTTATCATAAATTTAGAGTGAATTTTTGGCTGAGTAGGTTACGATAAAACATATTTTTGTACAATAACAATTAAACATTCACTTAGGGTTTGTTTAATGTGCGGTGTATGGTATGTAGCAGATACCTAGTTCATTTCCTGCAACAATAGAGTAAAATATGGTCTGATTGATGGCAGCAGCTAGAATAGTTCCTACTGGAGTGCCAACTGGAACCAATTCCTTAACAGGAGCAAACCTGAAATGACAAAAAAAATATGAGGCAAATATGTTTTTCAACATGGTGATAAAACTCTGTACTACAAATACAAAATAAAGCAAGACAGAGATAAAGGTTGATATACATTGTATGTATGTGTGTGTGAGCTTGGTAATGAACATAACTAAACTTAAAATAGTAAAGTTAGGGTTTCTGCAGAAAATGTCCAAAAATATAACAATAATGTAAAAATTGTTGACCATTTTATTCACAGGAGAAAAATGAGATTGTATTGGCTGCTTGGATACGATTACTGTTGACCTGTATAGAACCTAACCTAGATGGGTTAAATGTTACTCTAGTATCATCCAAGGTACCCAATGTCTGGCATGCATGACAATGCTCAACTTGCAGAAACAAGTACAGTGCTGGAAGGATCAACTGGACAACATTGGCATGTCCGCCAAAAATAGAAAATAAAAAAATACATGGAATGTGGCCTGCAAACATACAATAATTTCACCATAAGCAAAGAACTATAAGCAAAAAAAAAAAAAAAACTTAAAAAGAGGACCTGTTTGTAATGGAGATTAACTGTCAGGAGCAAAGGAGACCTCCTGCTTGATGTGCAAGCATATCATAGAATGGATAAGGAAAAGGGAATGTGGAGATTTCTACCTTCTGTTCACTAACTACACTTTGCAGTTTTCCCAAGTGGAAGGGTGGCATTAACGATCATTTTAGCAAGACTTACCTAATCTACAGAAATACTGACTTGGGCTTCCTTGTGCTCTTCAGCTTCTGGTTCCCTAGCTCACCTTCCTTGAGACCTGATTCCTTGGTGTTCTTCATGTCCATTATCCAGATAACGTTACTTCTGATACTCGTGTTCCTCGTCTAGGATCTTTAAAAAAACTAACAACTTTTGAGTCTGTCCTGCCATTCTCCCATCACCTATACTCACCTGCCTCCACTGTGGTTTACTGGCTGCTGCTGCAAACCTCCATATTACCGCCAAGCCTGTGAAACACAAGCCAAAGTAATATTATAACATCCTAACACATCTTCAATTTAAATACTTCTGTGGAACGAGATACTCACCTTTGTTGTTTTCCTACAAATCTTTCCAGTGTTCCTGTGAACCGCACCACTTGTAAATAAAAGCACTTACTATTTTGTCCTGATGCATACTCAGTAATCCAGATAGAAAAATCTATCAAGGTTAAGTCAGGTCCTCTGGACAGACTATTCTCTACTTACCATTTTACCTTCCTGAGTGGAGTCTCTTTAGTCTGGTTTGCTTACTCTGAGTTTTCCAAACAGAAATCATGTTAGAATGTTCTAGCCATGGCATGTCCTCCCAGAGGAAAACGGATAATGAACAGATTCACCATTCCATCACTGTACAGAACAAACACAGTGACCATAATGGATCTAACATAAGTAGATCCTCACCCAACAAAGAACCACCAAGGCCAACATGGAGAAACTGGGGAGAATGATGTTTGCCATTGATAAAAGATTTGCCGCCTTTTGGGTTATATTTGGCTCCGAAGACATAATCCAATAATCAATTGGATGGAGAAACGTGTTGATAGATGGAGCAGGTCTTGTTCACATATATGTTTACTATCAGCCATAACTCCTTCTAGAAAAGACACTAAGACCCCATAAAAGATTGATCTCTCTAAAGTACCCACCACTTATCATGATTTAGTTCCAGTTTTCAGCCAGCAACAGACCTTTATTTACCTCCTCATTGACCTTGATTGTGCTATTGATCTCCTTCCATGTGCCCCCTGCCTATCAGGTTTATACAACGTCGACCCCCAATGTAGCAGACCAAGGAA